AGATGGTATATCAGGGTTGCTTTGATTTGCATTTCCCTGATGGCTAAGAATGCTGAGAAATTTCTTAAGAGTCTTTCACCCATTTTAGATTCCTAGATTGAAAATTTTCTGTTAATTCTGCACACAACTTTTTAATTTAATTATTTGGTGTTTTAGTAACTAGTTTCTTGATTTATTTTGTGTTTTTTGGAAATCAGCCCTCTGTCAGATGTGTGGTTGGTGAATATCTTTTCCCATTCTGCTGCCTGCTCTTTTGTCTTGTTGACTGTGTCATTTCCCTGACAGAAGCTTCTCAGTTTCAGGTTGTTCCATTTATTAATTGTCAAACTCAGTGTCTGTGTTACTGATGTTATGTTCAGGAACTGGTCTCCTGTGCTAATTCATTCAAGGTTACTTCCCACTCTCTCTTCTAAGAGTTTTCATATGTCTGAATTTATGTTGAGGTATTTGATCCATTTGGACTTATGTTTTGTGCATGGGAATAGATATAGACTGCACTGTTCTACATATCTGTATCTAGTTATGCTAGCAACATTTGTTGAAGATGCTATCTTCCTTCCATTGTATAATTTTAGATTCATTGTCAAAATCAGGTGATCATGGATGTGTAGATTAATATCAGTTTCTTCAAATTGATTCCATTGATTAACCTGTCTGTTTTCATTACTATAGCTCTATAGTAAAGCTTGAAGTCAGGGGTAGCATTGCCACCAGAATTTCCTTTATTGTACAGGGTTGTTTTGGCTATCCTGGGTTTTTTGGTTTTCCATATAAATTTGAGTATTTTCCTTTCAATTTCTGTGAAGAAGTGTGATGGAATTTTGATTGGGATTGCATTGAGTCTATAGATTGCTTTTGGTAAGACTTCTATTTTTACGATGATGATCCTACCTAACAAAGAGCATGGAAGATCTTTCCATTTTCTGGTATCTTCTTTAATTTCCTTCTTTAATGACTCAAAGTTCTTGTCATACAAGTCTTTCGCTTGTTTTGTTAGCATTACCCCAAAATATTTTATGCTGTTTGTGGCTATTGTAAAGTGTGATATTTCTCTGCTTTCATTCTCATTGTAGTAAGGCTATTGATTTTTTTTAGTTGATCTTGTATCCTACCACTTTGGTGAAGGAGTTTACCAGGTTTAGGAGTTTCTTAGTAGAATTCTTCAGGTCATTTTTGTAAACTGTCATATTCATCTGCAAATATTGAAAGTTTGACTTCTTCCTTTCCAATTTGTACCATATTTCCTGAATATTTTGGATTAAGAATTTGCTGGATTTCAGATTTTCTTTGGTCAATGAATCTATTTTCTCTAGTTTATCCTCAGAGCCTGAGATTCTCTACTCTATCTCTTGTAATTTGATGGTTATGTTTGTATTGTTTCCTAATCATTTACCCAGTCTTTCTATTTCCAGAATTCCCTCAGTTTGTGTTTTATTTATTGCCTCTAGTTCAGTTGTCAGATCTTGAACTGATTGAATTGTTTCCTTCATCTATTTGATTGTTTATTCTTGGCTTTTTCTACTTTCTTTAAGAGATTTGTATTTTTCTTCCATTTCTTTACGGGATTTTTCATATTCTGTTTGAGGGCCTCTATCATTTTCATGAAGTTTTTTTTTTAAGGTCATTCTCTTCTGATTCATATTCATTGGGATATTCAAGTCTTGCTGATGTAGAATCCCTAGACTCTGTAGGTGTCATATAAATCTTTTTGTTGTGTAATGTGTTTTATATTTTTGTCTTCCCATCTCTTCCTCCAGTGGGTACAGGTAGGGTTTATTCCTCTCCTGGTGGGTTTGGCTTCAAGGCTCTATCCTCTCCTCTCTCCAGGAGGGTGCAAGGGCAAGATCGGAATGGCAGCCAATGCTGGATGCTTTTTTCTGCCCCCAGGTGTTCTCCTCCTTCTCCTCCTCCTCCTCCTCCTCCTCCTCCTCCTCCTCCTCTCTCTCTCTCTCTCTCTCTCTGTCTGTCTCTGTCTCTGTCTCTGTCTCTCTCTGTCTCTCTCTCTCTCTGTCTGTCTCTCTCTCTCTCTCTCTCTCTCTCTCTCTCTCTCTCTCTGTCTGTCTCTGTCTCTCTTCCCCAGTTGGTGGAGTGATGATACAAAAATGGCAGCCAAGGCTGGATGTTTTGTTCTGCCTCCAGGTCCCTCTGGAGGATTCGGTGGCAGGAAGGGTATGGAACCACAGGTCAGCGGGAAGAAAGAGGGAAAGGTGGGCTAGAGGAGCCCCCAGCACTCGGCAAGACAGGAATGGTGGTTGATGCTGGATGTTCTGGTCTGCCTCCAGGTCCCTCTGGAGAATTCATTGGCAGGAAGGGTCTGGTACCACAGGTCAGGGCTTGTGTATTCATTTTCATTCCAATTTATATTCTAGAAAGTCTTTAATTTTGGATTTATTTATGCCTTGACCATTTTTCATTGAGCAAAGAATTATTCAGTTTCCATGAGTTTGTAAGCTTTCTGATGTTTCTACTCTCATTGCTGTCTAGCTTTAATCTGTAGTTGACTGATACTATTCAGGGAGTTATATTTCAATTTTTATGTATCCTTTGATCCTTGCTTTGTGTTTCATTCAGGATGTGGTCAATTTTTGGATAGTTCCAAGAGATGCATTGCAGAAAGTATATTCTTTGTCCTTGGGTTTAGTAGTCTGTAAATATCACTTAGGTCCATTTTTATGTGTATTTTTTCTAGGTGATCTGTCTAATGATGAGAGTGGCATACTGAAGTTTCTCATTAATCATGTGTGAGGGCAAACATGTAATTTAACTATAATACTGTTTCTTTTACAAACTTGTTTGCCCCTTTGTTTGTTGCATAGATGTTAAAATTGAAACATAATTTTGATTGATATTTCCTTTGTTGTGTATGTGAAGTCCTTCTTCATATCTTCTTATTAAATTGGTTTGAAGCCTATTTTTAAGACATTAAAATGTATACACCAGCTTGTTTCTCAAGTCCATTTGCTTGTAATATATTTTTCTAACCCTTTGAGATAGGTAATGTCTATCATTGATGTTGATTTTTAAAGAGAATTTGTTGCTTTCCCTTGATGAAAATAAGTTAGGTAATTGGCTAGGAGAATATCGAAGACAATTTTCATTACTGATGATGCTCAGGTTTAAGAAGGTAGGGATAGAGAATTACTGTATCCATAGCTCCTACTAAGTTCTAATTCACTGATTATTAGCACTTATGGAGCAATGTTGTAGTGCAGTTACCATTAAATACCCAACATGTGCCTTCTGTGAGGTCTTGTGTTTATATGTCCCTTCCACCTAGACTGCTGTTGTCATCCCATACACTGTGTTCAGTGGCATAAAATGTCTGTACACAAAGAGTATACCACATAGCCTCATCTATGAGAAAACATGGTATGTACTCACTCATATATGGATATCAGGCATGGAGCAAAGGATTACTAGCCTATATTCCGCACCACCAGGGAAGCTAGGAAGTAAGGAAGACCCTAAGAGAGACATACATGGTCCCCCAGAGAAGGAAGAAGGGATGAGACCTCCTGAGCAAATTGGGAACATGGGGGGAGGGGAGAGGGAATTAAGAAAAAAAGAAGGGGAGAAGAAAAGGGCAGAGGACATGAGGGAGCAGCAATGTTGAGTCAGGGGAAAATTCAGGAGAGCAAGAGAAGAGGTACCATAATAGAGGTAGCCATTATAGGTCTAAAGAAAAATATGGCATTAGGGAAATGTACAGAGATCTGCAAGAATGACCCCACTAAGAATCTAAGCAATAGTGGAGAAGCTACCTTAACTGCCTTTCCCCTATAATGAGATTGACGACTGCTTTATATGCCATCCTAGAGACTTCATTCAGTAGGTGATGGAAGCATAAGCAGGTACCCACAGCTAAACACTGAGCTGAACTCCTGGAATCCAGATGCAGATAGGGAGGAGTGATGAGCAAAGGGGTCAAGACCAGACTGGAAAAAACCACAGAAACCTCTGATCTGAACAAGGGGAAGCCCATGAACCCCAGACTGATAGCTGGGGAGCCAGCATAGCACTGACCCAGACCCCCGAACATGGGGGCATTCTATGGGGCCTCTGATAGTGTGGATCAGTATTTATTAACTAGTGTATGAATGGACTTCCAGAGTACATTGCACACAGAGAAATACTGTCTCAGCCTAGACACCCTGTGGAGGCCCTAGGCCCTGCTCCAAATGTTGTGACAGACATTGAAGATCCCCCATAGAAGGCCTCGTGCTCCCTGGGGAGCAGAAAGGGGATGGATGGTGGGTCAATGGGGGCAGAGGAGAAGGGGAGGGAGAGGGAACTGGGATTGACCTGTAAAACAAGATTGTTTCTGTTTTAAATTTTAAAAAATCAAAAATTAAAAAGAAGGCATTGGTTCAGTAAAAATCTTTTGAAATAGAGGACTTGAGGAAACACTGGAGTCAGCTATCTAGATGAGATTGTGCTAAAATCTCATTTCCAGAAGTATTTTCAACATCACAAAAATTATTTGAAAAGTTGCCATGATATATTGGTGTAGATTTACTATACCTGAGGTTAGGCAGAATAGTAGTCATTCCCTTCCATAAACCTGTCTATACTTATTAATTTGTCTTGGATCTCTAGGGTTTCCCCTACTTTTTAGCTTTGTCTGTGATACAGAATATTCTCTTTATAATGAGAAAATGAAATAGAGCCATTACACTAAAGAATATGCCCTATTCATCAGTTTCTAGTTGCTACCAACTTATCGTCAAATGTGCTTTAGCTTGTGGAATGAAAGTTTTAATGGAAAATGAAGCTACCACACGGCAGTGGAGTATGGTGACTGACTTTCCTCATTAATGTCACACTTCACTAGACACATTTCACACAACAGTGAATCATGCTTAAAAGAGCAGCCTATACTTTAGTGACAATACATAAGCTGCAGAGTTGCATAGGAAGTGTTGGCAGTCTTAACTTCCCTTTCAGAACCCTCTCACAGATGCCTGATGGACAATTCACAAAGTACATTTGCTGTTTTATAGATTGGAACGTGGGACCCAGCCAGTGGCCTGAATATGACAGAAAGTCAGAAAGGAAAGCCAGCAAACATCACAGACTCCCTGTCTAATCGTTCATTGATTGTTACCACCATTTTGGTAAGTGACTGTTTTTCAAGTATTTTAGAAAAATGTAGATATCATTGATGTGATAGAAAAAAGACATTATAATGGGAATACTATGAACAGAATGCAATGTGTCTTATAGTCATTTAGCAAATACTATAAAATAGGAAAGTCCATTCAGTACATATTTTTTGTTAATCTTCAGTGAATGTTTGAGGTACCTGTATTGATAAACAACCTCGTGAACTATTGAAAATCTTTACATTTCTACAGAATTTGCTACTATTGATGAATTGCCAGTGTCCACATATGAAAAATAATAGACATGTAGATGGATATAGTTAAAGGAATAGCCAAACATAAACTCTTCTTTTACTAAAAATGTATTTCACATTATTGCAATCCTTTTTCAATATTTTTCTATAATCATGCTTTAATCTTGTTTTCAATTTCATTGTTTCCATCTGGACTAATAGCTCTCATTTCACTAATTTCTTTCATGAAAAATAATGGAAAATGCTTTTAAAAACCAGAAACATTTTCACTGCCAAAATAATTAAATCAATGTTGATATGTTGGATATTTTACCAATGTCATAATTATGTGTTTTAATTAGCTTGCCAGTAATGGTCACTTATGCCTTTTGCAAAGGACAATTTTGTTAAAAGAAAATTTAATAAGTTGCTATACCATTAATTTGCAAAGGATAATTTTTAGTGTAAGTATTATATTATTTAGTTGGTATTTCTTACTATCAAGATAGCTTACTAGTTCCCCTTCTATGCCACCACTAACTATAGGAAAACAAATTTAGAGGCTCAGAAAACCCCTTTATATACTTAGCAGTCATAGTTTCTAAATTTGTGTACATTGATAAATCAGGCCAGAAGGAGGTAATATTTTTAGATCATAGTAACAAAAATGGTTGTCGAAACTGGAAGCATTTCAAAAAACGGAATAAGTTTTTTATAATTAAGCAATGCTGGCCACAATGACATAAAAGCCTTCAGGTGGTGAGGTTTTTCATTTTTTAGCTGAGTACTTCAGACTCTTCAATGTCATATCTAAAACCTTAAAGTGCCTCTTCAATTTAATATTAGGTCTCCTCTATCTTTTCAAACACACTTCTAAATACAGCAAACCAGAACACATCTTTATTCAAAACTTCACTACAGGCAATAACACACCTGACTTCTTGTCCATCAAACCATTTGTCCTAGATGTCACAATTCCTATTAGGACAGTTTCACTTATCCCTTCTGCGGATAGCCAGGCTGTTATCCTAAGCTTTTTATTGTAACAATGTAATACTGTAATTTTTCTGATTTCCTGCTACACATAATTTTAAATAATCCACAATGATCTGTAAAACATAATAATATTTCATCCTTGACATTTGAGTTTTTGTCTCTTCCCATTCTTTATTTATTTCCTCATTAGAAAATATGTTTCCTGATTGAACTGGGATATGGAGATAACCTTCAATTGTGACTGCTTAAGCCTTGCTTGCTTTTCTTGGCAAATGGTCTTCTCCAATTGTGATTTTTATTGTACTTTTCATTTACATACAATTCACAATTAATATTACACTTTTTTGATTCACATGTACATCATCCTCCAAAACATTATTGATGAACTGAACTTGACTCTGTCTCACTTCTCTACAAAATGTATCCCACAAATCTCAAAGAGTAAAGATCATGCCTAAAACATCTGTAACCTATAAACTGGTCCTTTCTGTGGCCTCCCAACCAAAATTCCAAATGTATCCTCTATTTTATGACAACAAACCTTTACTCAATTCTTATACTTCACATATCAATTCATCATTTTAGCCTCACATCTGAAGTGTCAATCCCATGTAACCATTCTGCTTAATTAGGAATGTTCTGGGGTGGGAAGCTGTGTGCTTTACACTCACAATATTCTGTCATCATATTTACCATCCATTAAAAAGGATTTTTATTTGTGCATATCTGTGTCTCCCTTTATTGTGAAATTACACAATGCCAATAATCAAACTTTATACGCTTTTGGTTTCTTACTGCCAGAGTTATGTCCCATTTTATATAAAAATCAATATTTATCAATATTCATAAAACAAACAAATAATATTTAATTAACTTAGAATTATAGAAAATGCTCTCTTTTAAATGATTAGAGTTAAATATGCTTAAATGTTCAGGTTATACAATTTGTCTAATGAAACAAAATAATTAATATCATATAATTTTAACTAATTACTTAGGACTAATTACTTGTTACTTAATATTTTTACAAAGGAATTTATATATTTTCTCAATCATAAACAATTTTGCATTTACTAATACACAAGTACCATTTCATTACAGTTTTTTTTGTTTGTTTGGTGGTGGTGGTACTAGGGTTTGAACTTGGTTAGTGTTTAGTATCCTAGACAAGTGTGCTAGTTTGTTTTAACACAGGGTCTTGCTAAGTGTCAAAGCTACCTTTGATCTAATTTTTTATTTTATTTTCCCCTTTTTTATTAGAAAGAAAATTATTTTACATGTCAATCCCAGGTCCCTCTCCCTTCCCTCTTCCCCTGCCCCCCCCAACTAAAGCCCTACCCATCCCATATCCTTTCTGCTCCCAAGGGAGGGTGAGGCCTTCCAGAAGGTGGTCTTCAATGTCTGTCATATTCTTTGGGATAGGGCCTAGGCCAACCCCTTTGTGTCTAGGCTCAGGGGGTATCCCTCCATGTGGGATGGGCTCCTAAAGTCCATTCCTATGGTAGCGATAAGTACTGATCCACTACAAAAGGCCCCACAGATTTCCAAGGTCTCCTCACTGACACCCACATTCAGGTTGTCTGGATCAGTCCCATGCTGGATTCTCAGCTATCAGTATGGGGACCAAGAGTTTTCCCTTGTTCAGGTCAGCTGTTTCGGTGGTTTCTTCTTTTTATACCCCAGGCTATTTTTGACTTTATGTTCAACTCAGCCTCCCCTATAGTTGGGATTATTGACTTGAATTACTAAGGCAAACTAATTGAGACTTATATCAGAGCCAGCTAAAAAGCATAAGGATATTACCATAACAATGCACAAAGCAGAGCTGAAATACTTGAAGCAATGTTTCTGCGTTTCAGGCATGGTTATTTTTATGTATAAGAGTTCCACAGATAGTAGTGATTTGCAGTGACACTTGACAACTACCAGTTGGTTCAATATTCCTTACAACTAATGTGATTATCAATCAAACATACATGATACTTAGATTTTAAGTATACTATTTACATTTTAGAGTATTTCAATATGCTAGTTTTTAAAATTCTGTCATGTTCTAAAAAGAAAAAAAGTATGTCATCTTATTTCCATATCCTCAAATTGTTTGTTGTCATTGTTTATTTTTGTTGCTATTGAGGTTCTTTTTTATTTAATACTCTGATCATCAAGAATGCATAACAAGAATAGAAAAATTCAAAGGGATTATTTATCATGTTTATGCTGAACCTTTACAGTATCTCACCATGTAATTCATAGGTGTGACTTCTGGATAAATTGTTTCTCACACTTGGCAGCTTGTGTAGTATTTCTGGCACCATGGAAGCTAGACAAAAATAAAGGGGCTTTTAGGGTAGATCCAGCTCACATTATCCGGATCCTGTGTTCTGAGTGTGTAGTGTCTTCAGCAATAGAGACTTCAGCTTCTGAGAGGCAACCAAGGGTAATGCAGTTGCTTGCATTATCAACCATTTGAAAGGAACTTTCTTATGCCTGGGGCTGTGTTTTTACTAGTCTATGGTTTTGTATAGAACATTGTCAGCCCAAGTGACTTAATCTCTGTAAGCTATATATGTACACACACATGCTAAGAAAGGTATGCCTAAATACACTTAAATATATTGTGTATAATTTTAAGTAAACATAAAAAAACAACTTTGATGTTATATGTTCTGTGGTGATATCTTGCTTTTACAAATAAAACATGCCTGAAGATCAGAGGATGGAATTTTCCACTAGCTAACCATAGAGGTCAGGAGCTCTGAACAGCCAGACGGGAAGTGAGATGGCTTGGTGAGGAGGGGATATTAGCAGCACAAAACAGGAACTTGCTCTTTTTTTCCCCCATTGGAAATGAATGGGACAAAGGTGGCTTTGTTTTGCTCTTCCTTTTCTCTGATCTCTCAGCGATTTTCCTCTATATCAGTCTCTGGGTTTTTACTATTTAGACCAAAGAAGAACTCCATTTACACTGTCTTTTGTCCTTCCTCCTTCTGTACTGAACTTCTTCTTCTTTCTAAAAGTGGAACCCCATTTTTCTGTTTCATAACACTTGTATTCAGCTGGCCTAAACAAATATTTATTGAATAATGAAGATACAGTAACAATTTTGTGTGCTTAAAGATATATTTGATAAACAGGATATATATACATATATATGTATATATACATATGTTTGAATATATACACCTTGGAAATTATGATGCACACTGGAAACTTCATACTTGTATACATACATACACACACACACACACACACACACACACACACACACAACCTGTATTATGAAAAAAAAAAGTTGAGTACTTCATGCTTTAGGTACAAGTTTATTCTGAGGCTATGAGTGGAAAAATGTCACTTTAAGAATCATTTAAAAATTGGTAATTATGGATTGTTGTTATAGATTATACTGTTTTTAGTAAATTAGGAGTTGCCAATTCTCCTCCAATATCCACTGTGTCACTACCATGGAGCATTTAGCCAGCATTCCAGTACTAGGCACTGCTTCCCTCTTGTTCATCTGGTCTGAACTCCAATTAGAGACGTGTTGGTTACTGCCAACATACATGTGCCACTACTTTACCTTAGTGTTAAACTTGTCAGATACATCTCAATCTTGCACCTAAAGTTCAAGGAACACAATAGAAAATGTGGCAGAAAGATTGTAAGAGCCAGAAGATCAGAGAGTTTGAAGTAAGATTGTGTTTCCTAGTAAAATTAGAAGCTGCACCATAATGTCGTAACAGCATGTGGTATTCCCCCAGGGAAGAACACATCCATTGATTTTCC